GAATTAAATTTTGGGTATCCATAATGAAGGTTCAAACGCTGGCCATTTGGGCAGTAATTCATCTACCAGTACCTTTTCTTTTCTTTTTTAGTTTTTTTTTTTTTTTTAGCTGTTATCTAAAGCTCTATACAAATAGAAATTTTAATATCTATATTTTTGCAAAGTCTCTGATTCAGGAACCTTAAATATCTAAAAATTTGCAAATATTGTCAGGAATAAATTCCATTGAGATAGATTCCTTTACACAGAAAATTGTACAAAGACTCCTCTGAGTTCTTTTAATGTGCTGATCACTGTTTTAACACATCTGTTTGTTTGTCTTAATTTTTATCTAGAAGATCTCTGCATGTTTAATTCAAAACTGTTAAAATTGGCTGCCTCTGCTAGTCCTTAAGCCTTCCTGCTCTAGTGTGTCTTTGCTTTGCTTTAACTGCCTGCGATACTTCTCTGCTTCATACCTGCTTTTATTGGCTTGGAACAGTCACATCCCAAACTTCCCCAATTGTTTTTATCTTTATAGTTCATCTACTTGTTCTTCCTGTGTGAGGAGATCTTTGTGAGGAAGTCTAAGCAGAGAGAAGGTGCCAAGAGAAGGTGTGGGTGTCTGGTGCCATGCATGGCTTTCACACCTGGCTTCTAGTTCAAACACATATTGGGGGTAAATCATAGCTCTGACGTTTTGCCTTTCTTCCAACACCTTTAGGAAAACTATATAGCCAAAAAGTTGTGTGGGAACAGAAACTGTTCAATTCAATCCACTTCTCTGAAAGATCCAAGTTTTCTAACATGCTGTAGTGACCTACCTTTTTCTGCATATTCATTATCTCAGGAAAAATAACCTTCTTTCCCTCTTAAAGCAACCTTGAACTCTAGAAAACTTTTTTCTGGCCTGTTTTATTTTTCTTAATTAGCTGCTGATGAAATCACCATATAGTTCTATAATTATTTATCACCTGAGGGACATCCCACTTTATTCAATGAAAGTATTTTAGGGAACATCTGACCTTCCTGTATTTTCAGGTATTATTTTCTTTTCTTCACATTGTTCCTGATTCTTCTCTGTGCAGTATTACATGGCATGTGATGAAGTGGCAAGGAGGGAGAAGGGCACTTGGCTAAAGGAAGCCCTGTGGCTTAGCAAGTGGAAAGAAATGTTCCTCTCCAAAGCAGTTTTTTTTCATATTGGTCAGATAGCTAGGAGAAAGACAGGAATAAACCAGTCTGATTACTGGTTATTTCTAATAACTGATTCTACATAGTTCTATTAGAAATTTTGTGCTGTTTACACACATTTTCCCTCTCATACTTGAGTGTATTTTCTTCAGCATAATGCATTTTTCTAAAATTCATCCAGTACAGGTGTTGCTTCACTTTGGCTTATATCAAAACAAAGAATCTTTATGCTGTTCAGTTAGTTAAAGCAGATTAAGATCTCTTTATGTGATGCTGTCACATTAGCCCTCTGCACATCAGGTTTGGATGGAAACCAAAGTAGGATACAAGATTTAACCTCAACAACAGATTTTTCCTCAAAAAACTTGCATGAATTACTGGAAAATATTTGCTGCAATGCTAAGTGCTTTCTATTTTATTTCTTTTTTCCAAGGAAAATACATTGTGCTATACTCACAGGCTGAGAAAACTTAACAAGAAATAAAATATCTTATGAATAAATGAGATTTTGCTTTAGAATAACTGAAGATGTAAAAAGTAATCAGTTAAGATGTAACTGGAAATGTGACTGGATGCTTACTAGTGCAAAAGCCCTTCTGTCATGCAGAACTTTAGTATTAGATCCCTATAAAGTGTGTAGAATGAAAGTGTTTGTCATGCTGAGCTTTTTTCCTAAAGTGATCTCAAAGATGAGGGGAGGGAAGTGGAAATGCTTAGCATGGTACAGCTGACACAAACTGTTAGTCCTTATATCTGCATCAAGAAAAACTGCCACCCTAACTTGCAATATATTGCTTAAATAAATATTGCCTTTATTTCCTTTTTTGAAAGCTGTGAAAGCACTTAAGCCTGCCCAATGTTGTTGGCTCAAGGAAACACAGAAGAACTGGAAATAAAGAGAGATCTGTTAAATAGCTTTCTAATATAGAAAGTGCTGGCTAATCCTAATAAGAACCAGCCAGGAAGTGAAGTATTATTCCTGACTCCAGCCAGAAGGAGAGGCAGAGGTTACCAGGCTCACACAGACAGGTAGTAGGGACTGGGACAGGTGTCTGTGAGATACGTATATTGAGCATTCAGCAAGGAGCCCATAAAAATCTCTCATTCCTGCCCCTGCACTCTTTCTCATTATGGACAGCAGATAAAGCAGACCTTTGCCATTAAATCTGCCCATTTCTCAGTCTCTGAAAACAGTTTTCTACTGCATTTACTTTGAGGACTCCCTTAATCCACCTCTTGTACAAATTTACAGAAATAAACTCTTTTGCGTTTTTTTCCCCTTAAACTCTTTCAGCATTTGGAAAGCCTCTAAACCATAAAAACAGTTTGAAATTTAGTATCAAAATCTCCTGCACTGCTTATTAATGAACTGCAATCAACCCCTTTGTACAGAGAGCACAGAGAGCAGATAGCAGAGAGGGCAAGTCATGCCAGCAGGCCTCTTGAATTGCTCTCCAAGGAAAAGGAAGAGTAGAGGCACTATAACTTTAATTATGGTTCTCTCCAGTGTTAAACTTTGCATTTTTGTTTTTAGGTCAAGTAATTGGTTTGGCAGGAAGTACTGGAGCAAACAGGATAAAATCCTGTTCTGTTAAATTGCAGCTTATATAGAAAAACTGCCAGGTAAATTACTATGTATTTTGGATGCTTGAAAGGATTAAAAGTTAGTGCTAAAAAGAAACATATCCAGAAAAAATGAATAGCTCTAGTAGAGAATAATTCAAAATGAAAAATAGAAGTAGATTATTTGAGCTGCAGGGAAACAGGAGTTCTGGAAAGATTTAGACCAGAAACCACAGCAGTATAATGAGCATATGTCATGTTATGGTGCTTTTAAAAAGTCATGGGGGGGCACACTGAGTAGAAAAAAATTTCAGTGAGAATGAGTCACTTCATATTTATTCCTGAAATAACTATGTTAAGAATAGGATGCTTTCCTCTGGTTTTCATACCTGAAGCCTGTTGGTAGGTTGGAGGGCAAACTGTAACCCTCACCAGTCTTAATAAAGCAAATTTTTCTTGCCCTAAGATTAACATACTTAATAAAAAGCCATTTACAAACTATGGCTTACATTTGACTTATAAATTTTCACTCCATATCAAGACCTCACATCCCTATTATGGTCAGAGCCCATCATTCTGATAGAACCATTTTCCTTGGTTTTAGGACCTCTCTGAATTCACCACTCAATGCAGGCCACAGCACCAGTGGCACAAATGATCATTTCCTGATTTATAATTCCCTAAAGCAAAACAGACCAGCAGCTGCACTGTGTAAGTGGCTGGGACAAACATCAAAGAACCAAAGCAAAGGTTTCAGCAAAGACTGCTTTGCTGTCAAGACACACCTGCAAGTTTTTAGGCAAGAGAAACAAAGAATTACAACAGATCCCCTGATCTAAGAAAGCCACAGTTGAAAAAGGATGGAAAAATTAGATATCAAGGTGTTGCTGATTATCAGTTCCTCTGCTGCCAGTGTTTTGTGTCTGTATCAATAGCACCTTCTACCAGAAATCATCTCACTGATTTTGTGGGGGTTCTAATGAGCATAACTGGAGATAATAGATTTTAGTGCTTAGTTACTCCTGTTGTAGTAGATGAGCATTCACCCCTCCTATTTGTGGTGCTCCACCGAATGCTTTGACAGTCCTTGTGGCATTTTTGCAGAGAGAAAGCATGAGAACTGTTTCCACATCTTCATGTTATTTCAATGCAACTCTTTAGAAAATCCTTTATACAGAACTTCAACTCTAAGCCTTATTTCCAAATGAAAAACATCAGACTTTAAGGATTGTGTTCGTAATATCCAAAAGCTTAAAATATTTGCAACTTTTTAAAAATTCTAACATTTTAATTCTTAAGATACCAATCATTTTCCAGCAATCCAAGGCACATTCTGGAATCCAATGCCAAGCTCAGCACATTTTCTTTGACAAGGATCATAAATGTACTCAAAACAGTACTCAAAACAACAGAACACAAAGATCCAAAATGTTGCTAATTAGTTTGTGAGGCTTAGAGCTATTTTGTATCTGTTCAATATAACATGTCAACAAGAAAAAAGACATACATACATGGAGTTAGTGCTGTTCTGGGTAATAACTGGTGGCAAATAACTCTGAGATGCTCAAAGAATTATTTAGTGCACAGCCCCTTTGCTTTGGCAGCATCCTTTCCCATTCCAAAATATTTGTGTGGCTGCACCCTGGGGTGGGAAACAGGAGATGACCTCCGACAAATGCAGCAGCTTCTTTCTGTGGGACAACCACAAGATTTCCTATTGCTGAGCTCTTGCTACAGCTCCAGCCCTGGTTATGAAGGGTTACACCAAGAAGGATAATGCTTGGTGGTTTGTGACAAAATCACTGCTGCATGTGTGGTACCTGCTGTGATTTGTGTCACCCATTTGAACCTCAGCCACAAAGCTGCACTTTTTATCAAGGATATTTGTGAATATGTAACTGCTCTGAAGACATATGGCCAATAAATAATTCAAAGTTATCTATCTTCCCTGCAGTTTTCTTATCCACCTACCACCTTTTAATGTTTTGTTGGCCTGGAAACAATATTGTTTATGGCACTTCTAGTATAAAAGTGTTGCTGACTGGCAGTAGACTATTTCCAGTGAGATACCTTGAAAACAAATTGGTTCTCCCCAGTCTCCATCTGCTTTGCTCCCATCTGCTATTAGCCCAGAGAAGCCTTGTTTTGCATTGAGTGCCTAAAACTGTTCATTTTCAATTATTGATTCAAAAATTGTTACAATATGATTAAATTTGTTATTCCTTTTTCTCTCCCTCTCCGCTACCCCTTTGTTTTCTTTTCAGCTCTATATCTATTTACAGTCCTAAGGAGAATCCTAATGCTTTTGATGCTGCTGCTTTCTTCCAGTCAGTGGGAAATTTTCTGGGCATCTTTGCTGGATCATTTGCCATGGGATCCTCTTATGCTGTTGTCACAGCTTTAATATCCTTTATGGTTGGTTTTCAGGGAGAAAATCTATACATGTTGGAAAAAATATCCAATATCTGAGAGTGACCATCTTCAGCTTGAGCCTGAAGCTTTGCACTCTAGACTCAAGTGTTTGTAAACAAACAGACAAATCATAAATTGACAAGAAATCTCATTTGCCAGAATCTACAAATGTCTTTTTTACATTTACCATTAGGCAGGACTCTGGCCTTTATCATCCTATTTATAAATAATTGTACTTTAAGGAAAGTGTTTTAAAATATTTTGATGCTCAAACATGAATTTATTAAGAGCGGCAACTTATTTATGAACTCCAGGCTAGCAGCAATTATAGAAAAGTACAGGGGAAACACAACACCGTGTCAGTGTGTCCAACAAGCCCATCAGTTTAACTAAGCTAGAAATGAAAGGTCTGTCTGTTGCCCTCCATTTTTTCTTGTGTTTTACAGTTCATATAAAATGCTACTGTAGAATTACTGATTTTGATCTTTCTTGCATTCACACAAGTGTAAACAAATGCCAGTTTGTTTATAAAACTGGAAAAAATTGCTTCCTTTTCCTTTTTTATGGGAAAAAAATATCAAATGCAACCAACTAGGAATTAATTCAAACTCCACAAAAGTACTTAAAAAGCTTTAAAATCTGTTCTGGATTTTTCTCGCTAAGTTAGAAGCTGTGCAGTTTTTCTCAAATTCAACATGTGTAGATGAGTATGGCAGGGGAGCTTGCTTTCTTTCATCCTTTCTCAGAATGGGGGTAATTTTAGCTTACAAAGCAGTTGGGTTTTTATTTTTCCTTAGTTATCTTTTAGCACTTGACAAAATTTACAAAGCTGTGTGAGTTTCCTATGTTGGAGACAGGTCTGTTTTTCCTCCTATCCTGGAGTGCCTTCTTATCAGCAGAAGCCGCTGGGCTTACAGGTAAGTGTTGCATTTAATTAAATAAAAACAATCTTATAATATGCCTCTAGTGTGGGTAAAATGAATGGTTTATTTTAGGCATGACATTTTATATAAAGGTTCTAAAAGCCTGCTGCTATATTGAAGATCATTTAGTTCTTAAGAACAATTCTGTAGTGACATTGGATAGTTCTTCCAGACAAAAACATAATAGGTCATGCTCAAGTCCTCAGTCTTTCTTCCCTGCATTATCCCATCCCTATTAGTCCCCCTATTAATCCCCCTATTTTCTTGCCAGCTATGGAACCAAAGATAACAGTAAGTACAAGGAAGGAAATAGGCAGTGCCTTGTGATTACCAGACTCTGTGCTCCTCTGCACACACTCCATATCCATTATGTTTTTTCTCAATTATCAATAATTAAGACAAATTATCAATAGTAAACCAAGAACAGGGCCAATAGGTTGCATTCACCTTTGTACTTTGGGATAAAAAAGGTCATGTTCAGTGCACCTACATGTACACCTTTGGCACCGCCATGCCCCAGTGACAGGTAGAAAGATGTGTGATCCGATTTTTTTTCATTAATGCCAGGAAAGAAACTGTACAATCACCGTCAATTATGTACCCAGGGCCTCCATTAAAGTGTACACAAGAGTTTAGGCAAAATTTGTAAATGGATATAGTTTACCTCCACAGCAACCTATTGTATAGTGTGATTCAAAAGAACAAAGTTACTATGACCTTGATTGTTTTAATGCTCTTGAGGTTGTCACCCCTGAAATCCAGTGCTTCAATTAATGTCAGGGAAAATCAGGAGAAGAAAAATGCTTAATGGATCAGTAATGCAGCCCATGCTGGTTTGTTTCCAAAATTGTTCAAAGCCTTTTGAAGACAACAGTTATATTTTTACTGAGATTTCTGGAGCCAGCATGTTACTTTTTTAATATCAGCCACACAATCAAACTATTTCTGAATGGGTATTAATATCTGCATCTTTGCCTTACTAATTATACAACTTTGCATCCTGTTTACTGCCAAATTCTTCAGGCCAATGAATAAAAACAGTGGTACATGAACTGAACAAAAGGGTATTTGTTCTTGATTTGTTTCTTGTATTTCATTACATCAAGAAAATCAGATACCAAATGGACTTTTGTCTCTTAACAGCTCTTACTGGTTTGGGCAAGGTAGCATTCATTTTCTTCACAACAGCTAATGTGGTGCTGGGAACAGCACTGGTAATTCAGGGATATTTCAGGTATTACTGAGCAGCACTTATACAGAGCCAAGGGATTTTCTGCTCCTCACCCACCTCACACCCCCAGCAAAGGGGCTGAGGGTGCACGAGAAGCTGTGAGAGGATGCAGCCAGGAGAGCTGATCCCAGCTGACCCATTCCAGAGCAAGAGGAGCTGGAGGAAGGTTTCTCACTCTTACCCTTGTCATTCTCTCCCCCTTCCCACCGGGGAGGAGGGAGAGAGGGAGTGAGCAGCTGTGAGAGTCTCAGCTGCTGCCTGGGGTTAGACTTAACAAGCTCTTAAAAACGTGGCATGAACACTACAGGAAAATGGAAGCAAAGGAGGATGATTGTTGATCACTTGCCTGCTACTGGAGGTACTGATTTTCTAATCCAGTGACTTCCAAGTAAGGACTGTTTTAAAATGCATTCTTCACAGAGCACAAGGATTCTATGTTTCAACAACTGAACAATCAATTATACATGACACACAAAAAGTAGATTTGTAAAGGAAACGCTAATATCTTTCAGAGACTTAGGTGGTGCACCAAAAGTAATTTCCATTTCTCAGGCACAGGAACAGACTGTATGTCCAGACAAAAATAATTGGCGTATGTCTTTTTTGCATGCTGCAAACATGATGATGGACAGCAAAGTCCCTCCTGGTAATTACCCTGAAGAGCGTTTCATTGCTCTTTTCTGCTGTAATATATAAAATATCTGAAATAAAACACTTAATTATTGAACACCACAGATGGTCGTGGTAGCCAAGGTAAGGAATTTTAAATGGATAGAGGAGGAGAGTGGAACCAAAGTAAAGTTTCAGTTTAAGGGAAAAAATAGAAAATTGTTGGGAAATTTAACTAATTCTTATCAAAATAACTGATAGAAGAAAGATAATTACTTCACCAACACATATATTCCAATAAAAAGTATCAAACATTTTTAGGTCTGTCACTAGCATTTTTTCATGGATATTTTCTCATGGGTTCTGAGTTTCACAGGAAAATTGTTTAATTACACTGTTGTGAGAAGGCAAAGTTTAATCTTAAAACTTTCATCAGTTAAATCTTTCATCTTTTAAATCTTAAAACTTAATTTCTGTAAAAGGCTTTTGTCAGAAGCTGTTATGAAAAAAAAATCATGGAGCCCTTCTTGTGGCTTCAGAAGTTCAAAGCTGTATTTTATAAATGCATTTACTTTATTAGTACTGTCCTGACATTACCCTTTAGTTGTCTGGCTTAACCAGTTTTGATGTTGCTTCTGTCTTCTCTGTTTCCTCTGAAATAGCTCAAACCCCCCTCCTTTCAAAATATTATTTTAAACTCCAAGTTCAGCAGCAGAAATACTCTCTTGGTTAAGAAATTTTCACCAGACTTTGGTTCAACTCTGATTTCTCATACCCTTGCTAAGGAAATCTGTGCAAAATGCAGTTGTGTGCAGTCCCCCACACAGGTGGGTACACACAAAGCACCTCTTGCAGAAGGCAGGGAGAGCCTGGAAAAACTCAGTCATGCTTCAGGATACATTCAGCTCTTAATCTCCACTCTATCATTCCCAGTCTTTTCCAGCTTTCTTGCTTTGTCCTTTGTCTCAGTGCATGCAGGTTCTGGTTTTACAGCTGCCTGTGCATGTCCTCAAAGCAGCTGTGAGAACCCAGAGAGTCTCACTCCAGAGCAGCACAGCTGCATCGCTGCCTTCTGTGGACCACACTCCTAGTGTTGACATGCTTCAAATATTAACTTGTTCCATTAGACACTTATGCCTACATTCATCTTCATTTTCCTTGGATATTGTGTTTTCTCTGTTCATTCCTTCTAAATGAACTTCAAAGGATTAACACTAGACCAGCGCTCCCCTGTAGCTATTAAGTAATGTAATTGCAAAATAATTTTATTCTTATAATGCTTTCCACAGCAGTCCTTCAATCATTCTGAGCTTTTTGAAGTGTAATATTGAAGTATTTCATAATTTAGAAATAAAATGGACTATACTGTTTTTTTTAGTGGGTAAAGTAGGTGGTAGGGCTCACTTGTTCAGCTTGCAGATTTCTAAAATAAAATTTAAATGGAGAGTAGTACGGGTCAATATTTTAGAAAATATTTCATTCCTCTGCCTCAAGATATCCCATGATATACAACACACAATATATGGGCCTGACCCTGGTTGAAAAATGGATGTGATAGAACCAACAAATCAAAAAAAAATCTGGGATGACTACACAGTTATTGTTATACTGGGAATTGGAAATTATAAATTAATGTTATGGTTATTAATCTTATAGCTATATCATCAAGCCGTGACATATGCATGATAAATTGATTCTTATACAGTAGAACCTAATTTGTGTATTTTCTCATTTGCCCTGGCATATATCATTCCTGACTGCTGAGCAAAGCTGTAATAACAGAATACTAGAGTAAGGTCACTGTTAATAGAGTTGTTTTAATTTGCAAAGTTCATTACATAGTATTTACTAGTAGGCTATGAAAAAAAACATAAATAATTTAAATTAAACATTTTGTTGAAATAAATGAGGAAAGTACGTCTTGTATTTATTAATTGCTTGTTATCTTGTTTTATAATTAACAAAATTTTCTAAATTCTAAATGATCACTCAGTCTGAGAAAGGTTCCATTATGTACATGGGCATTTAATGGTCATCTCACTTAGACTTTCTGTATCTACCCCTGTTTAAAGTGACCAGATATTCAAATAAAAAGAGATTCATTTACCTGCAGAAATACACTGAAGCATATGTATGGGAATTGACTGGTACGTATGTGTTCATTTGATGCAGACTTCAAAGTCACACAGTGACTCAGTGTAAAGGCATCAAAATTGCAGCCAAGCTCCTCTGATTTTTACACAGTAAAAACCTATGAAGACAAAAAAGACAATAGACCTTGAAGGAAAAAATTGTTGGAGAGTGTAATTTCTGTTCCTTTACTGGTTTTCAGAACCCTTTGATTTCTGATCATTATAAAGCAAAAAGCTTGTGATAGTAAATTACTGCTGCTTCCTCACCTTCAGCAATTCTTGTCTGAACATTTTGTGATATTTCTGCCTTTGTGACACCTGCCTTCTTATTCAGGGGCTCACAGGAGAGCAGAGTCTACCTAGCAGGAAAGCTCTTCCTCCTTTTCCTCCAAAAATAAATAAGCAGCATATTATGAATGAGGTACCCAGGATGAGTCCAAAGATCTGGTCTCTCACTGGAGCAATTTTGTGCTACCTTTGTATTTAGGACATGGCAAGAGTGAATGTCACCATCTTCCATTTTCTTTAATACTGCTGACAAAGTGCATTTTTCCTCATGCTGTTCACTTCTCCTATCTGTTTGCTGTGATTTGTCTAGAATCTGTCATCTACCTCATTGCTTTTTTAAAACGTTGTGACCAGTTCTTCTTGTGACGTTCTCAGAAGGGATCTACCAAAACATTTCTGTCTGCTGTTCTGAGCACTGTGAGTCCAAGGCAGTTTGGTACCTGATGGGCTTCAGTTCACTGAGCTGACATTATTCTATACAAGAAAGATATTCTGGGCTTTAAATTCTAAATTGTGTGGTTTTCTTCGCTTTATTCATTAGTAATGTGCCATGCTGTGTCACGCAGAGTAGGCAGACTCTTGCCAGTAAGGAGGGAGAAGGGATCTTTGGCTTCGAGGTCAAAAAGAAAGAGACTACAACTCTTGTGAGCTCTAGTTCTGCCACTTCCAGGAGCACAGGATGAAATGTAAGCCTAATTAGGAAAACAATAGGTAAGAAGATGGCATTTGCCCTG